AGGTCTGGATAGTGATTAGGACACTATCAAACCTAAGTCAAGGCTCAAGCACATAGTGGGAAAAATGGGAAGTGGGAGTTGATTGAGTTAAGGAGTTCAATGAACACAGTTCGGGATCATAGACAGCAATATTGGGGTGCTGCTATGCCCTGAACAATAAACTCACATACAAAGGGGTAAAAGGGGTAAGGGAATTCATAAAGCATCATATTCACAACAAACAAACAACTGCACAGATTATTTAAATGCTGGACTGTAAGAGAAGGGGAAACACGTTATAATATGCTAGAAAACATGTGGACAGAATTAAACACATTGTTCTTGGGGCGTATAAACTAATTGAAACATACCGGTATAGAAGTAAAGAATGCAGAAGAAAGCGAGCAAAGTCCACAGCAGTGTGAGTATCAGAAAGAGAGAGTGAAAGGGAATTGTGAACTCAGATGGTATTCTGTGTTCGTGTGTAAAAGTGTAGAAGGGTAGCCTCCTTTATAGTGTAGAGAAGCAAACAAGAAAGGTAAGAAAACCCTTTTAAAAAAAATCAGTCTCAAATATTCTCCCTTTAGTCAAGGGATTTAATTTCAAACGGAAAAGTGTAAACAAGGAAAGGAAATTTGAATAAAATCCTTCACAGTAGCATAAGAAGGGAAAATACACGAGGTATATTTAAGGAAAGGTTTCAATAGTACTTGATTTGTAAAGAGAAAGGAAAGGGAATCAATCAAACAATTAACAAAATCAAAGTACTAAGTTTAAATCGAATGAACCAAACCAGAAATAGGTAAAGAGGGCTTAACCAAAGAAAATCAGTGGCAATCAATCAAGACCCTATCAAAGGGATCCAAAATCAATCAAGCAATCACCAAAAACCTTGGAAGAGGAGCTTCTTGCATATAAAGCAAATAATTCATACAGAAGAGTTTAACATTGAAGTGTTTAGAATCGTGAACAAAAGAATACGAGTTCAACCAGAGACTCATAGTGAGTCTGAAGGTACAGGGTCCCCAAAGTGGAACCCTAATTCAATTTACCAAGAAAAACCCCCAAATTCTAGGGTTTCCCCATCGAATCAAACACAGAAACGAGAAGGCAAGTGAACAGACTCAAGGAGTCTCATGAGAATCAGGCAAATACAATGGCGGGCTTGAAACAATCAAAGAAAGGAAACCACTTTAAGGCATGAAGAACATACTCAGAAAAACTTTCGCATTTAAGAAAACATGCTTAACAAGAACACAACATAGTTCAGGAAAGCAAAACATCAAGAAACTCAGTAGTAAATATGCATGGTAGAAGAGTGAGAAAAACAGACTAATCATGTGAGCATACATATAAAAGTAGAAAGACAATACATACGTAATAGAGGAGGAAAACATACGAGCATAATACAGACAAACTTCTAAAAGAAAAGAACAACAAGAATCGAAAGACTTTCAGAAACCCTAATTTTGAAAAACCAACGATTTTGAAAAGGAAATTTGGGGAAAACACTCAGAAACGTCAAATATAGCATAGGTTCAACACAGATCTAGGCAAATAAACAAAGAAAGAACCTCGAATAGTTTAGGGTTTCTGAGAAACCCTAGAAATGAGAAGGCGTGGAAAGGGTCTGGTCTCGAACAGATCTGAGCCATAGCTAGGCTCTTAAAGCTCGAACACACCGGGACATGGCCGGAGAAGCCATAGAACCATAGATCTACAACGGATCTGAACTGACTTTATCGAGGTCAGGCCTCGAAATCTCGAACAACCACGGTTTGGGGGAAAGGAAGGTAAGCACAGGATGTCCATGGCCGGAGAAGCCATGGACTCCGATGAGATTGCTCGGAGAAGAAGGCGGAGGCGATTAGGGTTTCGAGTGCTAGGGAGCGTTTGAGAGAAGGAGAGAGTTTGGGGGCGGCTGTCTGAGAGAAATGAGGGTTAGGGTTAGGTCATTTGGAATTAAAAAGGAAAGGGTTATTTGTGGCCGTTGATCAAAAGGATCAACGGCCTGGATTTAAAGGGATCCCGGGCGGGTTTAGTTTAATGGGTCAGGGGTTGGGTTAAATTGGAATTGGGCTGGCCCAATTGGGCATTAGGATTGGGGCCAATTGGGTTTAAGATTAAAATGAAATTGAGGCTATAATTGAAATAAAATGTGGCCAAAATTGAAATAGCCAGTTTTCCCCTGTTATTTTATAAAAATAGTGAAAATAATTTTAAAAGAAAATTGAAGATGATGAACCAATTAATAATATATATGTATTAATTTAAAAATATTAGAACTAATTTTACAATTATAAAACATTATTAATCGTAAAATAGGCTATAATTGCCTTTATATGCAATTAACTTTAAAAATACCAAAGAAATTTGTAAAAATATACAAAAAATTACCTTAATTATATTATGTGTAAATACGAGAATAAAATAAGTTATTCACAAAAATGATAATTTTGGGAATAATTATTGGATTTTGTAGTGTTAAAATAGACAATAAATTGATTTAAAATAAGGAAAAATACCAAAACTCTTGGGAATGCTTATATAGGCATGTATATGCTATTTTGAGGATATTTTGAGTACATAAAAATACTTAGGGAAAAATTGGGTATCAACACTTGCCTCCTTATTATGATCATCTTTTGATCATTTGCTCATCTTCTTTATTAAGAAGTTTATTTGAAACCAATTTGTCTATATGCTTTAAGCGTACCATAGACTGTGTCCTTCTAGGACTTAATATGAGCATTTGCAATGAGAATATAGTTACTTTCTTTGGGTCAGCAAATGCGTCTGGCATGCTTTGCAATATATTGCAAATGAATTATTATTTTATGAACTTCAAGTTCACATTATTTTATTCGAGGATCTAGATGTACACATGATAATTCATTCCACGTAACTTTTTCTCAATTGTTTATCATGTCTTCCCCTCATGTTAGAATAACTAACTTGTTTCCTCAACTTTGAGAACCCACCTTTGTGCATTATGGTGTTAATCAAAATATACACTGCACATCAATAATAATAAGATGGAATTATTTTTCCTGACCCCGAACTACTTGTGAGGGGAGAAATTAATATTACTTTCGTATATACCGTATATCAAACTGATATATATAACTTTGTTCTCATAAGAAATAGTTTAGCTATTAAGTGGAGGCACTCAATAAATCATTTTGCTAAAACAATTGTGTTGTAAACCAACTTATCAAGATGAACTGTCTTGAATTGAAAATCTAGAAATTATGCTCGAAATTAAATTATTGTGCAAGTTACCTCGCAAACATCGGCCAAGTTGCGGGTTATTAATAATCGCACATGTAACCATCTCATAGATGCATCTTATGTGGTATACATGGCAGATGAATGGGCCCATATTCACCTTTGATATTTCCAACATTCATGAGATTCAATCCCAATTTTAGGTGGTATATTAATTAATGAGAACATGCAACATAAGAGAATTTGTAAAGAACTTTCTAGTTCTTTAATATTTACCCATGTGAATTCTCTTTTATTTTGCACATCATACTTAAATTAATGGCTAAACCAATTATGTCAATTGGAGAAACTATCAATATTGATAAACATCAGGTTAACACCATGACATGTGCAATTGTTAATAAACTCCAAGTTTATTATGATATGGGTTTTTATATCGATAAACTTCCACTTATTGTGGCATTTTTTTGTTTGTGTAGTACAAATTGGAGAATAAAGCGGGTAGCTTTCACATACATATAACCCCGCTACAAGTTGTAGTATTAGAAGATATTAAATTTTCCTTTATTTATAGTCTCAATATAACCAATCTTTTCACGAATACTTTAGAAACTCAAATAAGTTTCTTTTAGACTTACTACAACACGCCGTCTTATTGATAATCAATTTCTCCAAAATAGTATAATTGGCTCTTCTAGAGCTCTCAATTAATTTTGTACTACCATATATTCATCAACATTTGTACGGTGAATATCTCTCTCAAAGAGAAGTTATACATTTATGGTCATGGTCAAAATTATATGCTAGATTTGTTTCTTGCATTACTGTTGTCCTTTAATAATCACAGTGCCAAAATTTTTTGGCATAATCACAATATGTACGTGATCAATGACCATTCATGCCATAATAATAAAATTATTTTCTTATTTTATCTCAAACCTCCTTTTAAAGGTAAGTGTGGTATATTCCCACTAGCACATTCATATTCTTTCAAGAATGAATATGTATTCATAAATTACATGTTGTCACATTCACATCATGAATGGACCATAATCATCTATATGTGCTATACAAAATCTTATGTCAAATCGATGACAAATATTACTTTCACAAAGTGAAAGATTATTTTGAGAATCTTTATTGTTCTCATTACCACAATGATGACTATTATAATTTCATCTATGGCCACGTCCACATCCATTGATACATTCATAGTAGTAATTTTGTCTTCTTTCAGACTTATCACATACTGCTATCACATTCTCTTAAGGGAATGAGAATGAGCAAAGTCAATGGGACGTGTTTTCACTTTTTGTGCCCATAATCATACATGAATTTGATCATGACAAGACATAGAAATTTTACCACTTTGGGTGGTTATAATTTCTTTCAAACTCCATTAGAGTTACAATCAAAATTTATTGTCTTTGCTTGCATTTAAAATCAAATTATAGAATATCAAGAATTTAAAAGAGAAAAATAAAGTAAAATACTTACCTTAAATCCAGAATTTAATCATGAAGGAAGTTTATGGAACAATTGACAATCATTATGCTCAATCCCAAAGCTTGTACTCAATTGGTTAGAGTCTCGTGCTGATAACATGTTATAAAACAATAAAAGAAGAAGAGTATTGCAAAGAAAAGTAAGGAGAGAGAATTATTATTGATTTTGGAATCAATTACAATAAAATAGAAAATGACTTAGCCACTAAGTAACAAACCCTAAAATCTCTATAGTCTCTACCGTATAAATATTCATGACATTTATTATTTTGCAAGTGAAACAAAATATGTTTTCATTGTCACACTATTGAAATTGAACTCCTCTTAGCAACGCCGCCCAGCGGCTTGCCCGAATAAATGCCCTCCTGCAGTCAAATCATTTGCAAATGTGCCTCCTCCTCTGTCCACATGGAGAACCAGCAAATTAACTTTTGCTCGACACTTTGTTGATATTTTCCTTAAACCAAACAATTAGATCTATCCTTCTACTGTCTTCTTCGAGCGATTGGACTCTAACTCAGTTTTCTTCCCCAATTGCATTGACAAGGTTAGTTGGACTTCTAACTAGTTTGCAATTTTAATTTATGTTGTCCAATTGCTTGTACTCTAGACAAACTTTGGGTATTGGAGCACAAAAAGAGCGGAATAAACTTTGTAATTCTATCAAACACTTTCCTCACTTCTGACTTTTTGCTACAGGGAATCACCCTTGGGGGATTGGGTTTTCCTTTTTTCTGACGGCAGTGGTATCTCCAATCAAGACTTGAATTGTAACCCCATCAAGTGAAAAAGAGAACAGCTGTTGTTTCTTTAGGTTTGTAATCGTGAGCTCTTTTTGTGGAAGAAAACGTTTCCAGTAGAAATGTTTTACTACTATATCATCTTCTGCATATTTTCCGGTGTATGTTTGGTGACATATGCAAGATGGAAGATAGGGTATGAGAATAGTCCCGTTATGATTTGTAGTTTAAAAGATTGAAAATATTTCTGGTCCGGCCCTTGCCCGGACCCGCGCATAGCGACAGCTTAGTGCATCGGGCTGCCCTACCTGTTGGTTGAAGCAAGTGTGATGGGATAAGATTGCAAGTGATATGGAGTGAGAGTTGTGATATTTGTAAAGGAAATGACTTGTGCCTATTGGTAAAGGAAGTCATTTCTCCCTTTTGGCAAAAGATGTTTTCTTTTGTGCTAACCAACTACTCTAAAATTATTCTTCGTTGAAAATATTATCCAGCCATCACCAAACATATAATATTCTCTAGTTTCTTTCTTTGTTTGATCAACCAGTTTTACTATTGCATTTTTGTTATCTCCTGAGGTTTCAGAGGAGGGTGTTTTTTGATGCTTGGTAATCAGCTGAGCAAATGGGCCCTATATATTACATCCTTATTGCATTGCCTTGCACCATTGGTGCCATAGCGCTGGCACTTGTGCACATATACAGGCACCTATTGAATTACACTGAGCCAACTTATCAAAGATACATTGTCCGGATCATCTTTATGGTTCCTGTAAGTGTTTCCTGACTCTTAGTCTTCTCCTCAATCTCTCCTATAAAGTAATATTTTCTTTGATAAGTACCTTTAAAGTTAAAAAAAGTAGCTTTGAAATTAGTATGTTTATGTAGTTTGAGATTATGTAACTTCTTCTCAATATCACCTTTAAAGTAATACGTTAATGTACTCTTGAGCATCATGCAACTGTAGACTACTTCTTTTTATTTATTATTCAGTCTGCTATGATATGCTAAAGATACTAGTGTAATTTAGTAATCAAAGTTGTTGCTTGACTTGGGCTCCATATAATTTATACGACAAGTATTCTAGTTTAATTCCCACATGAATTAATCTTTAGCAAATGACTCACATATTCTTGAGCTTTATCTTTGCCTCTATGCTTGTTTGATACACCTCATTCATCAGAACATGTCTTTTGCCTTTGAGATTCATCACTTATAATGATGCACCATTATATGTCAGAAGGCCATTTGTATTCTATTATAACTATTTTGCTTTGTGCCAAAATTCACTGAGCTCTCGGGCCAGTTGAAGTTTTTGGGCCAAAAATCAGTGTTAAGCTTGTGAAGTTTCTGGTAATTAAACTTTTTTATTAATCATCAAGTAGTGTATAACCAACTTTAGCTGTTTATAACTCATAAAACTTTTGCACTACAATAAGCTAACTTTCTCAGAGTATTCTTACTCTATTTTCATACATGGACCGGCCTTTCCATCCATTCGAAAGAAAGAACAAGAGGGAACTTAGCTGTGGCTGCCTCAGACAGCTATCTAGGAATGAACTACCAGATTCCACTATGCCTTTACTGAGAAGTAAGAAGCACACCTCCTAGGGAGGGTTTCTCTACTTCTCAAGCAAGGTACAAAATACTATAAAACAGCTACAACGTGTGAAGTTATGTGCTACGCAAGTGGATAATCATTTAGGTTCTCGAGCATTGATATTGACTGCAATAAGCTTGAGAGATAAAAAGTCCCAATTAGAATAAGCAATTTATTGTACTTTTGCAATTATAAAAAGGGGTACACCTTGGGGCCGGGTACGTCAGGCCTTCAACTAACAAGAAAGTGTTAACATATCCTATTTAGTAGGTTAGTACCTGGCGTCCAATCTGGGGCAAGGAAGTTCTCGGGGCACTGAAAGCTAGGACTACAAATTTGATTTTGAAATGTAAGAGTGCATGGCTGATATACTGAGATGATTGTGTTCCTGAGTAGCATGTTTAGAGTCACTCCTTTGAGTTTTTGGTGATCTTGACACTATGGTCAAATGGGACAAATTTCTCCTCCATCTCATGCTAAAGGGCCTAATTTGGCAGAATTAGTTGTAGGATTTTGTGCTTTATTGCGTAGAGGATATTATTGTGTTCCCTCAAATCTATAAATTCAAGGTGCTATTATTCACAGTGAGTACTCTAGCTTTATGGACTTGTTAGAGTATGTTGCATTAGCCCACAAATTTTGCATTTATTTCCAGAAGGTCATCCTATTTATTTATATCTGGACACAATGGTGTTAATGTTGGTAACAAATGAATGTTCCCAGTACTTAGGTGCTAACTAACAAGCTTGACTTCTGAAATCCTTAAGAAATTTATAGTTACATTCCATCCAGCAATTTTTGCTATCACTTTGATAAATTAAAGCTGTTCTCCTTGTCTCCCTGGCAGGTTTATGCGCTGATGTCATTCTTGTCACTCGTTCTAAATAAGAACGCCATTTATTTTAATTCCATACGGGAAATGTAAGTACGGTTCAATTTAGTATTTAGTGGGTTTGATGTACATACTTATTCTTCATGTTACTATAATAAGATCACATGCTGTTTGTTCCTATTATTTTGCTGCTATTTTTGCCAATCTGATTATAAATTTTGCAACTAGTAGCAACCATGAAGGCTAGATGGGATGATATTAATAGTGAATAGCTTAGTTATGTACATAATCATAGTTGTTCACTATAGCAAGTTCTTTTTCACAAGCCTACTCTCTCTGGTTGTTGGCTCTTCCTAGTTCTTTAAATCCCATGCATGTATAGTTAAATACAATGAACTTTTGATTCCTATAGTTTTGGTCTCATGAGACTGGTACTGATTACGTTGAATACTCTACATTGTATCCTTTGTTAATGGGCTAGGAAGCTATTATTGACTTGAGTGCAGAGTTAGGGTTTAAAATTGCAATGCCCTTGATTTTCTGAAATGTGTTTATTGAGCCAACGGATGAGCAGGCATGACACGGGTTACTATGTCTATACTTGCTTTTCAGCTTTGAAACATATATAATACCTTAACAGACAATATGTTATGATATATAACATTTAAGCTAAACTTGAATTTACTGCAAAAGGATTATGGATGCTTCTTCCATATCAAAGACGTAAAATCATTCTTTAACGCATTGGGTCAACCAAACATGAAGACATTCAAAGTAATAATAACTAATATAACGGAAATTAGCTGATATGCTGTTGTAGGTGCTATAGTTGTTGAACTACCAAGTTAGCGGTCCAACTTTAAAGCCTCCAACAACATATTAGGTCAACAAAGCGAAAGCTTCTCAAGAAGCTTCGACTAGGAGTACGTGGGACAGCTGGAAAGGCCTTAAAGTTCATTAAAGAAAGGTAAAACTGTTTAGCTAGGCTCTTGTTGAGATGTAGGATAATTGAAATTCAAATAGACCACATCCTTCCATAAATTCAAATCCACGGAGCAGAGTTGGCTCCATCCATGTGACTTATTTGGAACTACCTGTGGGTGTAACTGACTGACTTATCGTAGAGAACCACTTGTTGAGAGAGTTGAAAAGACACTTGCTGGATGACCAAAGAGGTATCTGTTAAAGGTTCCTGAAATTGCGCTTAGTCTCGCTACCTCTTTAGTTGCCGCCCCCTAAAAGTCAGTGCTTGCTGCAGACCGATGAACGTGGATTATCCAGTATTGAGCAGCGGTCTAGCATCCTTACGCCTTCTACTAGTCTAAGCCACACTGGGACTGAGAGTGGAGTCATTCCCGTTTGAGAAAGAGCACTCTATCGTCTCTCTAGCATGCTGAAATACTACATTTTTGTCTACCCAAGCCATTTACGTTGGCACAACGGTTGGAAAACTTTACAAGAAGCTTCTTATGGTGTATGTGGGGGAAAAAAAAACCATCTTCTAAATTGGGAAACAATGTAATTCCCTCTAAAGGTTCTGGATGAAGTTAGGAAGAGACGAGGAGCGGCAGAGGACCCAACCAGACCACTCAATCATATGGTGTAGCTTATGTAAAAAAGTACAATGAAAGGATGAGATGATTCCGTCACAGTTGGAAATGAGGATACAACTAGCTTTCGGGTGCTGAAAAAGTGCAGGTATCTTGTGCAAACTGGATATTGAGAAAGCATTCGACCAAGTTAACTGGTCATACATGTTTTCAATGCTAAGGAAAATGAGATTTGGTAGCAGGTGGATCAGGTGGATTAAATACAGCTTGACTACGGTCAAATATTCAATTCTCATAAATATGAGCCCAGTAGGATTCTTCTCAACCCAAAAGGGTTTAACGCAGGGGGGCCCTTGTCCCCATTCTTGTTCATCCTAGCTATGGAGGGTCTTAGCAAGATGTTGGACAAAGCAAAACAGTTACTTTGGTTAGATGGTTTTAGTGTTGGAAGTCCTCAAGGGAATCCAATCTCAGTCTCACATTTGCTCCATGCAGATGACACATTAGTTTTCTGTGGTGCTGAAAAATCTCAGGTTCAATATCTTAATCCAACTCTGCGCATTTTTGAAGCTATACCAGGACTTCACATCAGCATGGCAAAAAGCATAATATACCAAGTTAATGAAGTTCCCTACTTAGAGGCTCTAGCTGATATTCTATGCTGTGGTATTGGCTCCTTCGTTGCCACATACCTTGGCCTACCATTGGGAGCCAAATTCATATATGCTGAAAGTGTGGAATGGGGTGTTAGAGAAGGTGGAGAAGAGATTGGCGACATGGCAGATGCAGTATCTCTCCATGGGTGGTAGGCTAACTTTTATTAGCAGCGTAATTGACAATATCCCAACCTATTTCATGTCATTATATCCTATGCCTAGCAAAGTGCTGAAGCAGCTGGACAAACTCGGGAAGAATTTTCTATGGAAGGGGGACAGTGGGGGACATAAGTTTCACCTGGTTAAATGGGCCAAAGTGACTCAACCTAAAGACCTTGGTGGACTTGGAATTAAAGACCTAGCAAAGCACAACAAAAGCATGTTAATGAAATGGGTACGGAGATTTGGTGAGGAAGACACTAGCCTGTGGAAGAAGGTGGTGATAGCCAAGCATGGTCAACCGAGCCACTGGTGTACCAAACTCAGTAGACCCCCCATGGTGTTGGGCCATGGAAATACATCAGCAGCCTTTGGGAGGAATTTTGTCAGAATATTTCTTTCAAGGTTGGGAATGGGTTGCATGTAAGATTCCGGGAAGATAGTTGGTTAGACAACTGCCCCTTGAAAGAGAGTTTTCCACTGCTATTCCAAATTGCTAGTGACAGAAGCTCCACAGTACGTCAATATAGATCAGGAAACTCTTGGGTTCCACTTTTCAGAAGGAACATGCATGACTGGGAGCTGGATAGTCTACTTGTTCTGCTTGGTAGATTAGGAAATTCTACCATAAATGAGCAAACCCAAGAGAGGCTTAGTTGCATAGGGTGTGGTACAGGCCCATATACAGTGAAGTCAGGCTACAGGCGCTGTGCGAGCACAATGGAATCATTGACTCTTGGCTTTGGAAGCTTATTTAGAGGACAAAGCTCCCTACAAAAGTTAACTGCTTCACTTGGACTGCACTCAAAGAAACTTGCCTCACCCAAGACAATCTCTGTAAAATAAGTTTTCAGCTGGTCAATAGATGCTACGTGTGTCAGTAAAACTTTGAATCAATCAATCACCTATTTTTGCATTGTCCAGTGGCAGCAGACATGTGGTATATGTTTCAACCTATACTGGGTATAAGCTGGACACAACCACAAGGTATCAGGGAGGCAGTGGAGGGTTGGAGCAGCTGGAAAGTTGACAGAACCATCAAGAAGGTCTGGAAGATGATCCCAACAAGCATTTTTTGGTGCCTTTGGCAAGAAAGGAATCACAGATGTTTTGATGGCATTTCGACTCCTATCCATACTCTCAAAGCTAAATGCCTTGTGTACCTATTTAGTTGGAACTCTCTAACCCTGGTAGATTTCATTGGCTCAATTGCTCAATTATACAGAAATAAATATTGTGTATTAACACAATGTTTTGTCCCAAATTTACATTAAACACATTGAATAAGTTATGTCTTCATGCATGGGCTCCCCGGGATGGCGGGATCTGGATTTCACATATTTGGCTCACTCATAGCCCTTCTACTCCTATTATCTTCAAAAATTTACATCAATATGGGAGAGTCTGGTTTATATTTGTTTGTTGTTTTGCCTTCATTGTTTGACATTTTTAGCTCATTTGTACATATTTCACGTGTAATTGAGTCAATCTTTTCTTTGTCAATTTCCATCCTATTCAAGCATGCCAAAAGAAATAGTTTTTAGGGTAAAGGGGGTTTTGGTTATAAATTTGTATACGATGTATCCTTTGAACTGAGATGGTGCGTAAAACTCTCTCTTTGAAGCGAAATAATAAACTTTTTGGATTTAATATTTCTAATTTCCATTTCAGATATGAGGCTTGGGTCATATATAATTTTCTATCACTCTGCCTGGCATGGGTAGGTGGCCCAGGAGCTGTTGTTCTAAATCTGAGTGGCCGAGTTCTAAAGCCTAATTGGTATCTGATGATGTGCTGCTTTCCTCCAATTCCTTTGGATGGGTAAGATACTCTTGCAGGAAGCCACATTTCTTTGCAATTTGTCAATAAATAGTATTCTCTCTCCAATATAAATGCAAATTAATTATTTGGACCTTTTTATTTTGTATCTAATATTTGGCCGTCAATGGATTTTCAGTAGTCTTGAGCCACTTAACGACCCCCTTGATCCTTGCCACCAGATTATTTTTCACCATGTTGTCCTGTTTAGTTAATGGCATAGGTATTGCAGAAATGCTATAAATTTTGTTAGATCATTCAAGATTTCATCTCATGTTTTATATTTGGTAAACTGCATTTCTGTTGATGTCAAAGCTATGCAGGCGCTTTATTCGTAGGTGCAAGCAGGGATGTTTGCAGTTTGTGATCCTCAAGCCCATATTAGTGGCAGTCACATTCATACTTTATGCAAAACAGAAATATGAGGATGGAAATTTCAGTCCAAAGCAATCCTACCTCTACCTCACAATTATCTATACTATCTCATACTCGACGGCACTTTATGCCTTGGTCTTGTTTTACGTGGCATGCAGAGATTTGCTCCAGCCATTTAATCCAGTTCCAAAGTTTATCATAATCAAATCTGTTGTATTCCTTACTTACTGGCAGGTAGGATCGTCCATCTTTCTATAAATTTATATAATCACATTCTGTATCCACCACTGAAATTAAATTGTGCTTAATTACATTTATTTACCCTCTGTATTGTTTGGTGAAGAAACCTTCCATAATCTTTTATCACTGGCCTTATTTCACCAAATCTGGCATGGTTTGATGCTTTTCGCTTCATTGGCTCTGTTAGCTAAATATTTGCTTTCACAAGTAGTGGTTCTGTCCTAGTATCGTTTAACCATTGTCCAGCAAAACAATTAAACTCCAGAACTATTATTACTAACTGCTTATTGGTGCACACGTATTTCTTCACATAATTGTGTTTTTTCGTGAGTGGTTATCTTTCCTTAACTGCTTATTGATGCCCATTGGGAATGCTGTTACACCTAGAATTGTTATGCTGTTCACTAGATGGCCATTTTTGCTTGATTCTCGTTTGACTGTGGTTTCGCATCCGGTGTCTAGTGCGATAAGAAGGTCCCACAAAGACACAGTGGTTGTTAGACCAGCTATGTTATATGGGGCATAGTGTTGGCCAATCAAGAACTCTCATGCTCAGAAAATGAAAGTAGTGAAAATGAGGATGTTGAGATGGATGTGGGGACATAATAGGAGAGATATGATTAATTAAAATATTCGTGACAAGGTGGGAGTGGGCTCCGTGGTTGACAAGATGAGGGAAGCGAGACTAGGATGGTTCGGGCATGTGAAGAGGAGATGCACAGATGCCACAGTGAGTAGGTATGAGAGGTTGACAATTGTGGGTCTAAGGAGAGGTAGAGGTAGGCTGAAAAGTATTGGGGAAAAGTGATTAGACAGGACATGACACTTCTTTAGCGTAGCGAGGACATGACCCTAGATAGAAGGATATGGAGGTCGAGGAAAATGGTAGAATATTAGTAGGTAATCGAGTTTGGGACACCGTATCTAATCCATATTTTCCATATCAGTATTATTATCATTCTCGTATTATCTTATTTTTCGATTTCTATTACTACCTTGCTGTTTCACTTGCTTCCATTTTTTTTTATTGCTTTGTTATTTCGATGTTGCTGTTCTTGTCTTCGGTATTTTCAACATGGCTTCTTCACTATTGTTTTTCTTGTTCAAACGTGCTGAGAAATGCTTTTCTTGCGCCGAGGGTCTATCGGAAACAATCTCTCTACCTCTACAAGGTAGGGGTAAGGTTTGCGTACACATACCCTCCCCAAATCTCACATTGTGGGAATACACTGGATATGTTATTGTTGTTGTTCTTGTTTGACTGTGGTGAGGTTTGTGTTACATAGGTGAGTTGCAAATGTAACTTGTTGTAATTATTCTTTTTAGTCATATCTTGATATAATTATGAAATTCTCTTATTAATTTTCCTTTCAAGTGAAGTCTTATTAAAGGGGAAATCTTAGTAGCTCAGTTGGTTGGCTACCTGAACTTTTACCTTATTGGTGAGGGTTCGATTCCTCACCTTGTAATCTCCTCCCCCATTTCCGCTGCCCCTACCCCCCTATGTAATAAAATAAAATAACAAATCTTTATTAAGGAGGAATGGTTGCTTTTACCTTTTCTGCTTTTGAAATGTGGTAGTTTGCTTGCTGACAAAGCGAGGATTACCTTTTTAACTTAACTTGGATAAGTCATGTATTTTTAAAGGGCTGGTTTTCCTTTTGTTTTTTGGTCATGCAATGGTGTGTAACAGAGCTTATATTGAAATCCTAGATAGAGAAGTACTGGCTCTTGGTTCACGGAATATATTCTTGTGTTTAAAAGTTGTCCTTTTCAAGCTTCAAGTTCTCATATCCTTCTTCGTAACTGACTCCCAGGGAGTTCTGGTGTTTCTTGCTGCGAAGGCTCGATTTATTAAAGACACCGAGGAAGCTGCAGAATTTCAGAATTTTATAATTTGTGTTGAGATGCTTATTGCTGCTGCCGGCCATCTTTTTGCCTTTCCATACAAGGAGTATGCTGGGGCTAATGTTGGTCCTTCTCATGGTTTTTGGGCTAGCCTTGGCCATGCCCTTAAACTTAATGACTTTTACCATGACACTGTCCACCAGGTAAACCAGGCAACATGCTCATTTTCCGTTTTGCCTTCTACTGTATAACCAAATGTATCTTCACAAATTTATGTTCTTCCACTAATGCAGTTTGCTCCTACTTATCATGATTACGTGCTCTATAATCATAACGAGGGTGATGAGGGAGCAAAAAAATACAGGGCGAGGACTTTTGTCCCAACTGGCACAGAGATGGATACTGCTAGGAAAAACAAGAAGATATCTGCAAACAAATTGGAATATTTACAATTGTCTAGTCTCTCTTCTTCTGCTAGCAGTACTTCCGAAAATGCTGGGATTGGCTGTCAAACTGGGAGATCAGAGGCAGTGAATTCTTCATTGCTGATAGATACATCAAGTGTCTCATTGTCCCATGATCTCTCTCTCATTGATGTTGACTTGACAAATTATCCACCTAAGGTTTCTGCAGCTAATGTGTCTGGGACAAGCTAACAAATAGAAAATGTTTATTCAAGTGACTAATACTAGCAAAATATGTATTTTTAATGGGTCAGATGGCAGCAAAGTTGGTCACAATTGTATATTTCTTACCCATGATTTGCAAGGCCTCTCTCTCCCTCTCCCTCTCTCCCTCTCTCCCTCTCCCCCTCTCCCTCCCCTTCTCCCTGGGTGGGGCGCGTGGTTAGTGGGTAGGTGGGTGTGAAATTAGTCCCTATTGTTCACTCGAGAATCTGTTTATAAATGCTGTTCTCGTGTTTTCCGTATGATTCTACTATAGGAAGGCAATTCTATTAGGAGCTCCTCAATTTGCATTTAAATTCTCAAAAGTGAGTACATCATATCTGGGTTGGTCAATTAGACATGTATTTTCAGATAACGGAGGCAGCAATAACATTACCTAGACCCTACGCCTCATATTTGCTTTCTTTGAACCGTGTAAGTGAAGTCAAGCGTTGCTATTGCTTACTAGTACTTTATTTTCAGTTTATATGAACTTATTATTATTTTTTTGTCCGTTCAAAAAAGAATGACCCCTTTCTAAATTTAAAAATAATTTAGCTTAAACTTCTCTACTCACAATGTGAAGCTTTTATAACCATACAAATTTTATCGTTTGTTTAGGACCATAACTTTTTAAAAGTTTATGTCTTTCTTAAACATCGTGCTCAGTCAAATATGTTTACTTAAATCGAAGCGGATGGAGTATTATTTTGTTCTTCTTTTCACATATTGATGGTCTTGGTATGGAGCAACTTTGGAATTAAGTTGCATAATATTTGCAGTATCTTATGATCAGAATAACGATTAAAATGGTTGAGTTCTCTTGATTCTTTTAATTTATCGTATGGTTTATTCATGGGTTTGAATTAGTTATACAAAATTTTCATGGGCAGATTTAGGTTATTTAGCATAAGTATAGTATATAAGATTTTTTTAAGAAAGAACAATGACCAAAAAAGGAGTTAAAATCAAACACCCCAGCCAATGTTCTATATGTAAAGTTTATTAATCAGACAGTGAAAGTCAGCACACAGCTAATGCTATCTATACGCGTTAGGTCGAACAATTACCCGGTTCAGGTGGCTTTAAATTGATCTTCACAGTTTTCATAAAATAAAACATAAATACATTCTAAAGTGAGTAAGTGCTTACTTAAACAATCGTGAACTTGATTTCTCTGTTCGTTTCTTTCCAGCTCGTAATGAATATCCATTTCTGATAATAAGGATAGCATTATTAGACCTTTGTGAAAAATATTATACGTTGGTCTCAGTGCATCCCTTTTACAGTAGATGACTAGAAATGACATTTTAATTCATTATTAATAAAATTCCTATTCAGCTCATACTAGCCAAGCAGTAAGGAAAGGAAATATGATCACTCATGTGATCTTTAATCAACCATACTTTCAGCCTATTCTTCTCAAAATGAACCTTGTTTAATGTTTTAGTAAACACTCCAGCTATTTGGTCCTCAGGTTTAGAAATGTAATGACCTAACCTGTCGTTCTTAATTTTAAACTCTATTACCTAAGTTAAGATTTTTAGTAGGATCATTTGGTATTTTGTGACTGCGGGGGGTCCGGAAGGGTTCGAGAAGGTTTTGGATCACAATTGGCCATTTAGAAGGTTTAAAAGCTAAAAATAGCAACCTTACCCCTCAATTGCATTATATGCACTTCGGTTCATGGTTTGAAGCTTCTAATAAATTTATATGATGTTATTGGACTTGTACGTATGTTCGGATCCGAGGGGCTCAGGAGCATTTTGGCACTATTGCATGAAAGTTAGAACCTTAAGATTCTTAAGTTTAATATGAGTCCTCAAATCTGTGTTGTTGCATTTTCCTTCATGCTTTGAGCCTTTGAATACGTCCATGTAGTGTATTTGGACTAGTCGTGATGGTCTGGAGGGGTCCTAGGGGCTCAAGTAAATTTTGAGGTATTCGGGAGAGGTTTTAAATTGAAAAACCAGCAAACAACTACACTATATGTGCAGACCAGTAGGGGTTTCCGTTACATGGAATGGCGACAACCTAGGGGAGAACGTGATGGGGCTCGCATTGTGAGGGCCCTACACATCTACTTTAGATTCTGCATTTTTAGCACTTTGTTTATATAACCCTATTTCATATCATAAGATCATTTTATTATCTTGGGAGCGAGGAAGCTCGGATTGAGGAGATTTTTAGTGGATTTTTATCAACACCATTGGGGGTAAGTAATCCTAATTCGGAGCTATAATTATAAATTTAATCTATCTTCAGTTTTTTTCTTAGAATTAAGGAATCAGAAAGTATAAACGATGGTTTTGACTTGGAATATAAGAAAGTACTTTTGATGAATTAAAAATAGATTTAAACTAGGATTGAGAATCTAATTACATATTTGGACTCGAAAGCTTATGGGTCATCGAGACTTAACTTTTTGTTTTGGTGGTTAACCACGTGAACCCGGGGTTAACTTTTGTTAGCTTTGACTAAAATCTAATTTTTTATTTTATGAAATTGAGTTCTATGACTAAATTTGACCTCGTTAAGAGCTTTTTGACTAGATTGTGCATGTTTGGAGGCTTCAAAGTAAAGTAAAGCGGTATTTAAAGGTTGAAGCTTACCTAGTTAGAGCTAAGTTGAAACTTCAACTTCAATGGAGAAATTTTTTCCAACTTTTCTTGTTTGCTATATGCTACGTATTTGGGGGTATGATATGTGCGAGTTTACAAACGTATATATGTATGACATATGCTCTGTGGTTGGGTAGAGGGATAAACTTCACATGTCTAACTTGTTTTACTTGATTTACAATTGTATGAATATTTGAGTTCTTATTCATGCTAGTATAATATTATAGGTGTTTTATCCTATTTTATACTGGTTAAACATAATACAACTCGTGGAACTCAATAAAGTTGATTACAGTTATTGAGTCACCATAAAGTATTTTAGGTATTGATGTTCGGCTAAAAAATATATTCTTGTATGCAAATTGTCTCACATCGTGCTCTACTATTGTTAATTTGAATGTATATTGGGACGACTTGAGCTTAATCTGGTATTTATAAATGTGGAAGTCAATTAGAAATAAATGAAAGTGAATGCGCATGAGTTGGAGCTAAAATAGAAGAAGAATGGAGTAAGATGAATCTCAGGGCCCAGGCTAGCCCAATGCACGCCACATGTACTGCTGGAAATAGAGAAGGAAATGTGAGGCACAAGGCCAGTGCCCAGACAGCGCAATACACTACCTGTGGCGCTGGAGGCAGCGGGGCTCAACATGATACCATCACCTAGGCTGGCACAAGGTAGTGGCCGTGGTGCCCAATTCTGGAATTTGTCCTACAGCGTCTTGGAGAAGGTTTTCTTGGTCCTACATGTCCGTAACTTGTATAAAAGGGTTTGTACACCTAATTTTGGGGGGAGATCTACCACTGGAGGCATATTGTCTAGCACTTCTATGGTTTTCAATACTTGTATGAATTTTTCCATGACTATGAGTGGCTAAGTACTCTAACTCTGGGGTTGTGATTGACATGAATATTAAATTTTGTTAATTATATCCTAGTTAATACCAAATATCATCTTTGATTATTTCTCTAATTCTACTTTTAATTTGTGAAATGTACAATAACAAAATAATAATATACCCAGTGTAATCTCACAAGTAGGGTCTAAAAAGGGTAGTGTGTATGCAGAACTTACTCCTATCTTGTATGAGGTAGAGAGGCTATTTTCGATAGATCCTCGGCTCAAAGAAAAAATAGAGCAAGTTTGAGACTTTGAGGAAAAAAATAGTAGAGAAGAGGCTATGTTAGAGATACTGGAGAAAAGAAACAATAACGACATCACAATAATAAGATAGCCAACATAAAAGAAATAACAGGTAATATAAGAAATTGCAGAATAGGATAGTACGAGAATAATATTAATACTACTGATACGTAGAAGGAGGAGCAGATAAGGTGCTCCAAACTGTCACCATGCCTCTCCACAGGAAAGTGATACATCGATCCTCGACTATCTACTAACATTCTATCATAATCTCCGACCTTCATACCCTTCTATCTAAGGTCATGTCCTTAGTAAATTGAAGATGTGCTATGTCATGTCTAATCACCTTACCCCAATACTTTTTTAGCTTACCTCTACCTCTTGTTAGACCTATTATTGCCAACCTCTTACACCTCCTCACTGGGCATCTGTGCATCTCCTATTTATATGGCTGAACCTTCTCAGCCTTGCTTCTCTCATCCTGTCCGCCATGGAGTCCACTCCCACTTTGCCTTGTATATCCTCTGTTCCTAATCATATCTCTCATAGTATTCCAGAACATTTATCTCAACATCCTCATTTTTGCTACTTTTATCTCTTGAACGTGTGAGTTCTTAATTAGCCAATCCTCCACCCTATACAAATATTACGACCCAAAATCCCACATCAAGGCTGTGATGGAGCCTAGCCGAACTTGCTAAACAAGCCAACTCACAATCAACAAATATAGTCCATTTTCATTAATTAACAGAGATATATAACAATTAAAGATGGAAATAGTCTCAAAATAGTAATAATAGCCGATTCAACCAAAACATGGCCTAAACATGGAGAATACGGTATAACCCCCAAGCCTATGTGGCACAAGTACATGAGCAAACTATGAAAATAAGAACACTTCTGTATACATAACTAACTGTTGAAATATAAATAGACATGAATAATAAAGGAACAGGAACTCGAGAACTGAGAAGTAGATCCATGAAGTGCGGCTCATCCTAAGTCTTCGTGCGGTCACCCAAGCTCAATTAAGAAGCTCTTCTAGGACCCACCTGAAGATCTGCACAAAAAGATGTGCAGAAGCGTAGTATAATACACCACAATCGGTACCTAGTAAGTATCAAGTCTAATCTTAAAGAAGTAGTGGCGAGGCTTGATGCTTCCGAATACTTACCACACTGGTTAAGAACTGAAATAGTAGATAATGTCATAAATAATAAGAATCATAGATATCAAGAGTTGGAAGGAACTAAGCATGCTTTCCAGTACAAAATTAACCAAAATGCTGCTCAGATATAGTAATAAAAGATGGCATGCTCAATTCACGGAGC